TTTTTTTTTTTTTTCCCTGTTCCACCTCCGCGAACGAGGAATTTCCGCCGAGTTGATTCACACGAGTTAGATAAAAGCAACCATACGAGACTACACGTGTGGGGGGAAGATACCAAAAAGGAAAGCACACCAACGGGTAGTACCTGCTCGATCGGCTCGATTCACACGCACATCACAAGCGCCGCTTACGTAGTGTAGGTCCCCTTTTTATACGGGGTTTTCACCACTGCTGCCCCTTTTGCCCATACGACGGTATAAAGAGAGGAAAAGGCAGGAACACAAAAAGGAGAAAAGCATTCCACACTTTGACTCATCGCGATCGAGAACGGGCACCATGGTGAGACAGTCGCAGAGCATGTACGATAGGCACCTGACTATCTTCTCCCCCGATGGAAACCTCTACCAGATTGGTAAGTGCCCTTGCGTAAATTTTTACAATGAGAGGGAGTGAAGAAGTGAGGGGAGGGTGCAACAACGGGAGAGATGCACCCCGCATGTGTTGTCACTTCCCCGTGCGGCTTCATGCCGCCATGTGATCTCTTCCCCATTTTACCTTCACCCCTCCTATATGTGCATCCCTGCACCGACGCTTCCCACGTAGAATACGCCATCAAGGCAGTGAAGAACACCAACATAACTTCCATCGGCGTGAAAGGAGAAAACTGTGCCGTAATAATTTCTCAAAAAAAAATGGCAACGCAGTACATCTCGCAAGACAAGCTCCTAGATTACAACAATATTACAAACATTTACAACATAACGGACGAAATCGGATGCTCCATGGTGGGAATGCCTGGGGATTGCCTCAGTATGGTGTATAAGGCCAGGATGGAGGCCGCCGAGTTTTTGTATTCCAATGGGCACAACGTTAATGTGGAAACCTTGTGTAGGAACATTTGCGACAAAATTCAGATCTTCACGCAGCACGCCTACATGAGGCTGCACGCTTGCAGTAAGTTATCGAGATGGGGAAAAGGGGATGTGGCGCGTCGCCCCCCCCCCCTCCTCGCTGAGTAGCATTATGACCCCTTTGTGAGACCTAGCCAAAATGTGCACAAAATGGCCATTTAGAAAAAAAAAAAAAAAAAAGATTAGTTCATGTGAGCTAGCCAAAATGTAGACAAAATGGCTATTTAGAAAAAAAAAAGAAAATGCTTCTTCATGTGAGCTAGCCAAAATGTGGACAAAATGGCATTTGGAAAAAAAAAAATATGAACGGGTCATAATTTTTCTTTTCTTTTTTTTTGCCATATAAGCTTCACTAGTGCAACTGGCAAATGTACCGCTTGTTCACCAACTTTGCTTCTGCGTTGCTTTACCGATTCACCGCTTTTCTCCCCACTTCCAAAGGCGGAATGATCATAGGCATGGGCGAGGACAACAAACCGGGCCTTTTCAAGTTCGACCCGTCCGGGTTCTGCGCAGGGTACCGCGCGTGTGTGATTGGGAACAAGGAACAAGAAAGTATAAGAAAAAGATTAGTTCATGTGAGCTAGCCAAAATGTAGACAAAATGGCTATTTAGAAAAAAAAAAGAAAATGCTTCTTCATGTGAGCTAGCCAAAATGTGGACAAAATGGCATTTGGAAAAAAAAAAATATGAACGGGTCATAATTTTTCTTTTCTTTTTTTTTGCCATATAAGCTTCACTAGTGCAACTGGCAAATGTACCGCTTGTTCACCAACTTTGCTTCTGCGTTGCTTTACCGATTCACCGCTTTTCTCCCCACTTCCAAAGGCGGAATGATCATAGGCATGGGCGAGGACAACAAACCGGGCCTTTTCAAGTTCGACCCGTCCGGGTTCTGCGCAGGGTACCGCGCGTGTGTGATTGGGAACAAGGAACAAGAAAGTATAAGTATACTGGAAAGGCTGCTGGAGAAGAGGAAGAAAAAAATACAACAGGAGACTTTAGAGGAAGATATACAAAACACCATCATCTTGGCCATTGAAGCGCTGCAGACCATTTTGGCGTTTGACTTGAAGGCCAACGAAATAGAAATGGCGATCGTTTCGAAGACCAACCCCAACTTTACGCAAATCAGCGAGAAGGAGATCGACAATTATTTGACCTTCATCGCGGAGCGGGATTAGTTCGTAGAGCATCCTGTCGGGTTAATCGGGTTAATCGGGTTAATCGGGTTAATCGGTGAGGAATATCCAGTTCCTTCTACTCATCACTCACTCCTTCGCAAGAGTGCCATGTGCTCACTCATTGCACATATAGCACATATTGCGTTGCTTTTTTTTTTTTTTTTTTTTTTTTTTCTTGTACCACTTCCCTTTTCCTGTGTCATATTTTTAAAAACGCTCCTCAACTTGTCAACCGATCTGTGTGAACACAGCACCTATGGATTGACGTTACTACATGTACACAGAGGAACATTGTTGAGAAGGCGACCGTCCAGCTGTACGATTCATTGCTGAGCGGACGCACAGGTATCAGTGAATAAATAAGTGATTAAATAAGTAAAAATAAGTTAACGTATATATACATGTATGCACATATTTGTATGCACACATTTGTACATGGTATATGTGCACACGCGTGTTCATTGCCTGCTTCCAAAAAGAGACACCCACATGGTGCACCTTGTTAAGTAATCGGGAAACGACAGGCAAAAAAAGCTACACACACCAGGGATTGCTCACCATATAAACTCCCCAGCTGCAACCCCAAAAGTGAAAAGGAAAAAACGGATGGACAGAAAGCTTCGTTTTATGACAGCTGTTTTTATACAATACAATCGCGCCCAGGCGTTTGAAACAAAATGGTCATGTAAAAAGGGAAAAAATAATTCATACATTTTAACAACGTAAAAGACAACATACACGTTGGAAGAAAGAAGTAGCGGAACGCTCGAACATGTAACCATCTCCCGCACCTCGACAGCGGGCAAACATATTCAGGTGTAAAAACGAGAAGTAGGTTCTTCCTTTCTGGTATTAACACTTCCCCTCTCCTCTAACTATTCCTGTAACTCCTGCTCTGTGAGTATAGGCTCTTTTTGTTGTAGAGCTCTCCTGAGTTGTAATTCATCCCGTTGGGTCCGTTCTCGCTACAGTGGGGGGAAGTGGTAAGTGGAAATGGGTATATGTGTAGTCGTGAGACGTGTACATGTGCATGTACATACGCTCGACGGTACGCAACTGTAGATGCACACACTATGGGGCTTTTTCTTACTTTTGGAAGTCCTCCGAGTTGTAATAGTTCGTCTGCATAAAAAAAAAAAAAAAAAAAAAAAAAAAAAAATTTCAAATGTGAGTATAAAAGGGGGAGAACAGCTTATCACGCAAACCACACACAGTGACACTTCTTCCAACGCTTCTTCACTCTCGGTTTACCATTTTCTGGTGACCCTGTCCATCGTACGCGTGGGACACACGTGGGGGTGGGGGTGGCATCATCCACGCATTTTTGTCAGAGCTGTTCATGGAGTAGTTGCTTCCGTCATAGTACTTGTTGGTAGACTCCTTGGTTGAGGCGTATGGATCCTGCATCTCTGCATTCATCTTGGACCCCCGGTGGTGGTTGTCGCTCCTTCCATCATCCATATGGTTGTTCACATCATAGTCGCTGTTCCTTCCTCTCTTCTCGTAGCGTTTATTGGAGTAACTGTCCGCTCCGAATCCTCTTCGCGTCTCATAGGAGTCGTCTCTCCTTCGCTTGGCGCCCTTGCTATCGCCTCGAATATCGCCACGTTCATTCGACTTGTGCATCATGTTCCTCGCCGACCTGTTGTACCCATAGCTGCTGTGGTGCACCGAGCTGCCGTACAACCTGTTTGGCTCGTGAGAGCTGGACACACTGGCCCCTCCATCTCCGCCTCCCCCACCGCTGCCGTACGCACCACCACTGTGGTAGGTGGTACTGGAGTTCCAGTTGGACCTCTGGTTGTCACACCTGTTATACTTCAGACCCTTGTCGTCCCTCCTGTTATCATAGCTGTTCGTTGGGATGCTCCTGCCCATTTTATCACTTCTGTAAAACTTGTTTGAGCTGTAGCTGTGTGAGTTGTACTGGCTTCCTCCCCCTCCATACATGCTTCCTCCTCCGCCGTAACTACTGCCACCTCCCCCTGCGTACTTGTTCGAGCTGTAGTTGTGACTTCCATACGATGTGTGGTTGCTGTATCCATAGCTGGAGCTGTACATGGAGTTTTTATATACACCATTAGGGGACCCCTTGTTTAGGAGGTGGCCTCCTTTACCCATTCCTCCTGTTCCTTTTCCTGCATATGTCCCTCCTCCTCCTCTTGAGCCATACCCACTGGACATTTCATTCAGAGGGGTAGGGAGAAGGGGCGGCTTTTTCTTCATGTCATACATGGAAGAGTAGTAAGTGTTGTTTCGGTAGGTCCCTCCTCCGATGGTCCTCTTGGTGTATTTTTTATTATTGTAGTCGTGGCTGTAGCCCTTCCTACTGCAGGCAAACTTGATTGACAAATGACAAATGGGTCCACGGCTTCCTTTTTTCTTCCTTCTCACACTTATGTAGTACTCGAAGTAGGTACTTATGTTGTCACTCGCGTGGAAGAAGTCCAGTGGGCTGAAGATGCACTTCCACAGCTTGTCCGCGGTGCCCGCGTCGGCAGTAATTGCGTCGGCGGTTCCTGCGTCAGCGATGCCTGCGTCAGCAGGGGCGGCTTCTTCTCCCGTGGGAGCTTCTTCCCCAGCAGGGACTTCTTCACCAGCGGGGACTTCTTCTCCATCGTGAGCTACTTCACCCGTGGGAATTTCTTCTCCATCGTGAGCTACTTCACCCGTGGGAATTTCTTCTCCATCAGGAGCTACTTCCCCCGCGGGGACTTCTTCTTCCCCAGCGGGCGCTACTTCACCCGTGGAAGCTGGTTCCCCCGCGACAGGCTTCTGCTCGCACGGAGTGGCCCTCCTCATTTGGCTATTGAGCTCGGCCTGAAACAAATAATAGGACAGATGGGACCTCCTGCCTCCCCCAGAGACTCTACTCCTGACATGTTCCACGTACAGCTTGTATCGCATCTGGCTGATGTGACTGAGTTGATCCTTTATGGTGCTGCACAACTTAACCTTTTCATGAAATTCTTGTAAAAATTTTTTTCTTAAAAAGGAGTAACTCTCAACAGGGAATTCACGAGTAAAGTTGGGTTCCAGTACCAGTGCCATCTCTTCTGGGATGAGAATTTTTTTTCTTTTTAAAACGAAAGAGTAAAATGCACAGTTGTTCAGGAAGGCATTATGTGTAAAGTGATTACCATAAACGACTGGCACGTACTTGTCGGCAATGACGTTTATATCTACCTTTGGTTTTTTTTCTTTCTTCTGCTCCTCCTCCTTTTTCTTCTCCTCTTCCTCCTTTTTGTCGTCCTTCTTTTTTCTCCTTTTCTTCTTCTTCTCCTCCTCCTCCTGCTCCTTTTCCTTTTCTTCCTGCTCCTGTTGTTCCTGTTGTTGTTTTTCTTCTTCTTCTTTCTGTTCATCGAACCAAAATAATTTCATGACTTTCTCAATGTCTATGTGGTAGAAGAGTGGAAATTTTTCAATATTCATTTGTTTTATTTTTTTTTCTTTTGCGTCTTCTTCTCCGCATGAGGACTGCTCCACGTAGGTGAGTACTTGTGACGTTTCGCATGCTTGGTTCTCTCCTTTGACGAGACTATCCTTTTTATTCTTCGCCTGACCGTCGAACAGGTGGGAGAATCGAGTCATATCATCTTCATCGTCTTCCTCCTCCTCTTCCTCTTCTTCATCCTCGTCCTCGTCCAACTCCTCCTCTTGTTCCTCCTCGTTCTCCTCCCCCTTCGCAGCAACCGCCTCAGCGTCGTCCTCCTCGGCGCATATGTTCGCGTAGCTGGAGAGCTTGATGCACACGTCTCCCCCTCCCTGCTCGGTGGCTTCCCCTGTGACATCCCCTGTGGGGTTATCCTTATTTTCTGTGTCACCGTTGTCCTGCTCGTTGTCCTCCTTCTGCTCGGGGTCCGACTCTGGCTCAACCTGTTCTTCCGCAGTGTCGTCATTGGGTTCGGCGCCGGTGTCTTCATTCGGTTCAGCGGCGGTGTCTTCATTCGGTTCAGCGGCGGTGTCTTCATTCGTCTCTTCCTCGTCGGGGTTGTTTTCTCCCTCCTGATCTGCTGCTGCCTGCTCCTGCCCTTTACCACTGCAAATAAGATTCTTCAAATTGTTTAACGTTTCGTGAATGCTCTCTCGCTTGGTCTCCACACCCTCATCAACCTTCTTCTCTTCCCCTTCCCCTTCTTCTTTCTCCGCCACGTCAGTAGACTCCTCATCCTCAATGAACTTTGTTAATTTTTCAGTTGTCCACAACAAATGGACCTCGGCATCCTTTAGGCACACTTGAATAATTTCAATCAACACGCAAATGAGAAAATAATATATTCGTAGCGCCGTCACCTTATCACTGTACTTGAGCCCGGTCTCGCGAATGCTGTAGCAGAGGCCTGCAGAGAAATGTTAATAGGGGTTGGAAGAAATATATCCCGTTTGTGTTTTTACCACAGGGATGCGGAGGTGCACACACAATTTGCAGGCGCGTCCAGAAGGGATCCCCACATGACGTCGTGACAAAAATGACGCTACAACGCCACGAAGCAGCGCTGCTCACCTGGGAGAACCAAAAACACCGTGTCGAAGAAGCTGTTTGGGAAATGGCTACCCAAATAAAATAAATTGGCGCTGAAAATAACGTACACCCTTTTGCCCGAGTGTTCCTTGAAGAACTTCCTAGTGTAGTAAAAGGGGGTCTTCTCAATGGGGACCTCTTCATCCTCTTGCATGCCTTTGTCCTGGAGCTTCCTCCTCCTGCGCTTCTCCAGGTCGCGCAGCAGGTGATCCATTTCTAACTCGGTGGAGGTGCCTGTGGGGAAGAAGCGCATGAAAGGGCAGCACATAGTTACACGGTACATGCGTTACACGATACAAACGCTACACGGTATATACGTTACCCTATACAAACGCGTCGCCGCAGATAAGATACACCGCGCATAAGATACACCCCGCAGGCGTGGTGAAGGCGAGCACTTACTGGCTATGTAAATGTGGGCAGAGGGGTAGGCATCCATTACTAACTCCGAGAAGGTCAGATTCTCATCCCCTATGATGAGAATGTTGCTGTGCGTTCGTTGACCATTTTCTCCTTGCTGGTCAGGCAATTCTTCCTCCAGAGGAATAACATCCGCTGATTTCTTCTTTCTACCTCTTGATGGACCATTCCGTGCAGTGGCTCGTGCGCCCTTCTTCCCGACCTTTTCATCTTCTGCTTTGACCATCCTATCACTTGCCACAGAAGCGTTAAAATGGATTATGTTATGTCGCGTTATGGGGAAGGAAGAGAAAACCCAAATAGCTTCCAAAAAGTCGTCTGAGAGAAAAGTACCTCCCAAAGTAAATCTCTGCACAAGTTATATGCCTGCACAAGTCATATGCCTGCACAGGTCAGGTGAATTCACGCGATGTGATGCGTTGTTCTCGCGTGGACCTTTTTCGCTACGCAGCTTCGTTGCACAGTGCTGATGTTCCCTTCTGTTGAACTGCGTTCATGTTCCTTTATGTTGCTACTTTTTGCAACTCTTTCTCTGCTGCTCCTTTTTTGATGCTCTACTTTTTCCTTGTCGCCCTCTCGGCCGGCCTGCACCGTTCAAACTTGGTTCTAATATTTAATCAGAAGGGGAAAAAAAAAAAAAAAAAAAAAAAAAATTGACACCTCCGCGACGGGGTAATATTATTATGTCACCCACAAGCCCATCGCAACGCGTCGCCGGGGGAGTTCCGACTGTGCGACATACCAATTTGTGCGTTTCCCTGCAGCTTGCGTAAAAGGAAAAAAAAAAAAAAAAAAAAGAGGATGCTCAGAAGGGGCACCCGAGCATGTAGCCATACGGACGTATTAACCATGAAATAGTTTAACCTTATGAGTGAATGTACTCACGAAGGCACGCACTTCCCCATCGCGGAAGGCACAGAAGAATAGGCGGTACAGTGGTGCGCAGCGTGCTGGCGAAGGGTATACGGAGAGAGCAGAGAGGGCCGCTTACACTTGTGTTGCGTGCCCAGGAAATGCCTCCACACCAAAGGGACTCCTACCCCCGAACAACATGATACACCGCGGTAGGCACATAAAAATAATAACAAACGTAAGGTTTATGTGTCGGCCCATTTGGCGGTTAGGGACAGTGTAAAGCCACAAGTGCCTTATATATTGACACCCACCTGTTTAGTTCCCCGCGCGTGAGCAAGAACAGAATTATCATCACACCCCACAAGGAGTGGGCCAAAAAAAGAGCCTTACACGTGTAGGGATCCTTTGAATCGTTAGGGTACCCCCACACTCTTACACGGTAAAAAAGAAAGCTATCGGTTTGTGTGTCACCGGTGAGGAGGCGTAATGTAGATTATTGACCAGCGTGCACACCTTCAGGCGTAACCTTATACAGGTGTTCCCACATAGGCCAGCTGTTATGTGTATGTTCATGTGGGGTGGTAAAAGCGGATGAGGGGCCCCTCTCCCCTGATGCGCACCTAATCGTTGTACAAGTAGCGCTCACGAGTGATGCCATAGACGCGCTTAATTTCTGGCGACTCCCTTTGGACCTCGTTGCGGAGTAAAACAAGTGGCACCTGTTGTCCATTTGAAGTGAGCAGGAGAAAGTAGAGCAGGTTATTGTCATCCTCCTCCTCCTTCTTCATCTTCTTCGTCCTGTTCATCTTGTGCATCTTCTGCATTTTTTGCACGTGGAAAAAAGGATCCTTATCCTCTAAGGTTAATTTGAGATACGGATTGACATCCTGCGAGGTGGAAGGCCCCTCTTTCTTCTTCTTCCACTTCGTCGTCACGTCGTATGTGGTCCTTGTCTGGTCCCCAAGGGGGCCGTGCCTTCCGTCAATGACGTCCACAAGGTGTTGTAGATTTCGCACCGGCATGCCGTTCACCGTGAGGACGATGCAGTCCGTATAATTAAAACCAATGGTTAGCGTTGACGGGAGGACACGTTTCACAATAACAATTTCGTCCTGTTTGTTTTTCTTAAAAAAATTAAATTGTAGTAGACGCAGCAATTCCACATTGTCCGTTGCTTCACCAGTGTACAGACTCCTAGTGAGTGTGGTGAAGACGACGCCTCCATAAATGAAAAACTTGTTTCTCACATCCCAGTTGTGTTGCCTAATTAGGTAGTTAACCCTACTCACTCTAACCACTACTGATTTAATACGTCCCCTTCTCACGATTCTGCAAATGCAGAGGTCGTGAACGTATTTTCCATTCAGTAAAAATTGGAAGTCTATGGATTCGTCTCCTCGTAGGGTTACCGTTCCGTCGCTTTTTATTTGTGTGCCCTCTATTGATATGACCACGTCATTTTTTTTCAGCCCGTAGCAGTGTTCGTCGGGTGTGTCTGTTGCGAGTGCCTTTTTTGGGGGTGCCTTTGTTGCACGTGCATACGCGCGCCCCTCCGCGTACTCACAGTAGTCCACGTCCCCTGGCTCGTACCGCATTTGCTCCTCGTCAACTTCCGTGACGAGAATGCCACTGTTCTCCTCCACTGCGTGCCGCTTCTCCAAATCGGTCAGCCCCACGAGTCTTCGTAGATTAGCATTGTCGAGGGGAACGTACTTCACCCCCAGGGACGGGTACCCATTGTACTTGCCTGATTTGTGCAGGTCCAGAAGGAAATGCTTTATCACTGGGGTGGGGATGATGTACGAGGTGTTGTTCGCCATCTTCAATAACTGGGAGCAAATTCCTGCTACCTTCCCTTTTACAAGTGCGGGCCCCCCGCTGTTTCCTGGGTTCATCGGCGCGTCTATCTGTGTCAGCAGCAGTCTGCGGAGGGATTAGCGGTGGTGACAAGTAGCGGCGGTGGGGGGTAGCAGCGTAAGGAGTGGCAATGGTGAGACGTAACAGAGGCTACGTGCAGGCGTGCACTGCTCTCCCGGGGACCCACCTCGCATTGGAGTGCCTGTAGTACTGGACCTCTATCCGGCTCACTATGCCCTTGGTTACGCTGAGTTTGTCCCCCCCCGTCGGGTAGCCGACCGTTATGACGTCGTCCCGCAGGGAGGGAAGCGGACCCAGCTCCAGGGCGCTCACGTCCTTGTAGAAACTTCTGTCTTGTACCGTTAGGATCGCTATGTCGGCTTCATGCGCAACGTGCAAAACGGTAGCCTCATACTTTTTGGAGTTCCTGTGAAGCGGTGAAGACAAGAAATCCGCGTCGAGTGTATCTATTGCATTGTATCCATCGCCGCCTGAGCAGCATTACCCCCTCAGTGGGAACCCCCATCTGACGGAGGGTGAACATAATCGCCCCTTTTTTACCCGTGCTTCCTCACTAAGATCCTTGTGCTGTATGCCACATTATGTGCATTCGTTAAGATAAGATCCCCCTCAATGACAAACCCGGAGCTACAGAGGAGGAGTGGTGTGTAAGGAGGACAATTATTAGGATGGGCTTTGTATAAAGAATATATGTATTTTTTTTTATATATATATAAGGGAGATGTGAATGGGTTCCCCCCCCCCCGCTTGTTATGCCCCCCTGCGGAGGGTATTGAATTATACCCGGTGACACGCTTGGGGGGACTGTTACTCCAAATCATTTCAAGGCTAGGTTCAGTGATGTCTACATACAACTTGACGACACCTCTGTATATGTTGTGTAGCGCACCTGCCTTAGCATCCTCCTTAGTACGTTTCTTCTGATGACCGCGTCCGCTGCCCGGAGAGCTCAGCGTTATCTGGTTTAAATTTCGCTGTAGCTTTTCATTTATTATGGACCTCTTGGCTACTCCGTGTTGGCTGTGCCCGGAATGGGGCACGAACTTCGCTGCGGTGGGGGAGGGAGTAGTGGCACCGTTAGTCGCGTCACCGTTAGGGGGGGCTCTGATTGGGGGCGATTCACCCTGAAGACGTGGGATCGAAACCAACTGGCAAGCGCCCCACACGCGGGACAAAATATATGGTCCTACCTGGAAAGAATCTCAACGGGCGATTCACTTTACCACCTGCAGCCCATCTGCCCCCCCACCCCGCACTACGTCCTGTCCCGTGCAGGTGGTCGGAGGATGTACCCCCCAACTGCTGCATGTCGCCATGCGTATATTTTTTCTTCCCCTTCAGTAAGTACTCCTTCATAACTTTAACATCCTGTGGGGTCACAATATCTTTGACCATTTTTTTATCGTCCCTGTTGGTCCTCAATTTCAGTTGCCCTACTGGGTGGTGTGCTGTCTTGTTCGGGTTACAACGATTATACAAGTTACTTACATATGAATTGAGCATGTCTTTGTGATTCTTCTTATCCTTCATTGGTGAGAAGTCCATAAGATTACCCTGTTCTTCCGGGTCCATTCTGTGATGTACATTTTTTTTTTTTTTTTTGTGCCTGCATGTCTTATGTGCATGAGAGGGAAATTCCTGCCCACCCTGGCAATGGCTTTCACTAGGTTGTTGTGCCCCTCCTTCTACAATATCCTTTAATGAGGCTTCATACTGTTCAGGCGAAGTATTTACTGGTTCATCCCTAGTGCACTTGTGTGGATGGTAATCACCCCCCTTGTGTATATCACTTGCAGGGGGCCTGTTCTCTCCACTGGGTTGATTCATTTTAGCCATGGTGCTCTCATCAGTTGGTGTGTTCTCACTACATATAAAGTTGGAGTCATCTCCTTGTCTTTCTGCATCCATGTAAAAATTCTGTTCCTCCCTCTGTCCAATATCCGTCGCTAACTTCCGTGCATTGTGCTGTGCGCGGTTCGTATGGTCTGTCGGGGGTGGTACCTCACCCATGCGTCGAGCAACGCACCAAGGGAAGAAGCCGCCCCACGGGTCACCCCCCCAGCGAATAATAAGCAGCCATGCGACAGATGTACAGAACGAGTGACGCAGCAAAGACAACTTCATTTTGTGGTATCTGTGGAGAGGAACATGTTGCACCAGGGCCGGTCATACCACACTCATGGGTGCCTATTTATTCATTATTATTTTTTTTTTTATTTGGAGTGAACAGAGTTTGTGCGCCCCTGCGCGTAGATATTGCCATGTACATGAGACAACGTCCAAGTGGAGAGGTGTGGCTATCATATCCTTCCTGTGTATATATATTACATACGCGCACACGTGAGTGTACACATTTTCCTTTTTTCTACCCGCGCATGCAGTGGGAGCAGGAAGCAGCACACCCCTCTCCTTCCTCTGCACCAAGTTGCATTTTGGAGCAAACGAAAAAAAAAAAAAAAAAAAAAAAAAGGCCGCATGAAAAACAGGTACACACTCGATGGTGCATGGGCATTCGCATTTTACCTCTGCTCTCGTTGGTTAAGTTGGTTTCGAACAGGGTGATTACAAAGGTATGCAAAAAAGGAGAAGAAAAAAACGAAACCGGTTAATGGGAAGGAAAGCAGTACAGATTAGTTGCGCGAGGCGTATGACAACTTTCCAGCGCTGTCGCTTGGCGAGTCGCAAACTGCTTACCGCAAAACGCTTAGTGCCCCTACTGACTGTCCTCCTCCGAGGCGGAGTCCGGGTTGTCTGCCGCCTGCTTGTCCTTGGCGCCGGACGAATCACCACCAAATACGTTCACTGTGGCGCTAATTCTCCCCAGGATGCTCGAGATATAGCTGGTGTCCTGAATATGAGCAGGCGCAGGAGCCTCCTCACCATCAGCATGCTCACTGGACACACCCATCCCCTCATCATTCTCCTTGGAAACGCTTTTTTCTGAATTATACAACTTTTCATTTATCCCCCCTCCATGCGTATTGTCCTCCACATTTCCTTCCTCTTTATCAATTTTAAACACTTTTTCGTAGCTCTCGTTTTCTTTTTTTTCCTTTGTATCCTCCATCTGTATCTGATGGTCGTCTCCTGCCTGATCAAAATTATTCTTATAGCTTTCATTTACAATTGTTAAATTCTCTTGCTCTTTCTCTTCAAAGGGGGGATCATCACTGGATTGGTTTGTTCCTGAAGGGTCCGTATTATTTGGTGGAGACAGGGGGTGGTGGTTATTAGTTAACGATTCAGCTTTCCCTTCTCCATCATGCTGGTTTGCATCACCAACACTCTGTCCCTCACAATTCTCAGTTTTATTCTTTTCTGTATATTCCTTAAGAGATAAAATTAAAGCTTCCTTCAATTCATAATCAATATCCTTCATATTTTCAATCTCTTCAATGGTTGGTAAATCGTTATTATTAGTAGAGTGCACAGCCGCCGCCCCACTGGAGGAAGAAATATTTTTCTGTTCAGTCAACGGTTGGCTTTCCTCAAGTGACATTTGCATGGCACTCATTAGCTGTTCGTCCTCTTGAATATTTCCTATACTGTACTCATTATTTGTTAATAATGAATTCAGAACAAACCTACTCAGGTTGTTTTCTGTTTCAGGACATTCAATGAACTTACAATTATCATTACTGTTTACACTTTCATACAACCTCATGAGGATACTTCTATTCCTTTGCACATCTCCATAGCTGATTATGTCTAGGCATATATTGTTCTTCTTTAATTGCTTTCCTGTGCTGATCAGCTGCTTTTCATTTACCTTGAAGGGACTCCCAACGAACAGCATAATTTTTTGGCCCAAGTTTTTATCCACACGGTGCTTGAGCGCCAGCTGAGCGATTAACAAACTCCTCACAATGTCACATGTACCGTCCAATTTAATATCGTGAATGCATGAGAGCAGCTGTCCTATGTCGTTCGTGAGGGATACCTTCACTTTCGTCTTGTCACCAGCCATCATGACGATACCAATGTTGTTCTTGTAGTGCATGCTCGTCTTGTTGCAGCAAAGCACGTTCACGCAGTCAATCTGGGGAGTGGTGCAAATGACGCGAAGCGGTGTGAGGCGGTGCGAAGCGACATGAAGCGGCGTGACGCGGCATGCACCGTGAACTGTTTTCCCCCCCCCCCTGTGCTAACTCACCTGCGAGAGAAATCGGTTCGGTACAATGTCCTCATTCCTGTTGTAGTCGCTATTGTCAATGCAGATGATGGTAGCCTCGATGGAGCTCATTTTCGACTCGGTTCAGCTGGTGGGGAAGACACAGAGGCGTGCGTACAAAAAAAAAAAAAAAAAAGGGTTTGCAATTCCTCCTGCACGGGTTGACCTAGCGTAAGCAAGCGTGGAGAGAGAGGATGTGTGCCGCTTTGGACGTGTAGCGGCCTATCCCCTTCCGGCAGAACGGACTTTGCAGCGGCCAGCCGTACCTCAAATGGGCCACAAATGGGTCGCAAACGAAAAGAGAGGTGTGCTTCAAAACGCAGGTGTTTTGGCCAAGCGCGGGATTCGTGTACACTCGGCACAGCTCCCACGCTCGAGTTTAAACACCCGCGTAGGATGCGCTTAATTCGATTGATGTAATTATGATAGCATACCCCAGCGCGTTCATTTTGTTATTATTTTTTTTTTTTTTAATTTTTTTTTTTTCTCTCTTTTTCGTGGGTCAGCAAAGGGCGAATTCTTTTTCGTTCATCTCAAACTAAACAAGGTGAGATTTTTTTTTTTTTTTTTTTTTTCCTTCGCACTGTGTGGGGGGCAAATATATATATAATATTCCCCTGGGGCTGGTGCGCGTACAGTTCCCGTTTTCTTTGCGCCTTGTTGGTCCGTGTCGTTTTTTTATTGCCCAAAATTGGTACGCCCCCCGGTCGGTGCGTGCTGCCAATTTTCCCCCCAAATGGGAAAGGCGAACATTGCTCTAGTAAACACTTTTGCTCGATCTCAGTTTCAGTCTTCCTCTCTTGCGTAGCGATGGCTGTTCACGAGTGCGGTATGACGGGGCGTGCACAACTCATCCTCGGCGTCCCGCTTCACTTCCTCTGTATGTATGTAGCATGGCGCTTATGTAGAAGTAAGCAGAGGAAAGGCAGGATCGAACGAAATGCACTCGCGCAGGGATTAAGGGGAAAACAGGCTTGTTCGCCAGTCGTCTTCTATTTAGCTTCAGTCAGCTTCGAATAAACCTGCGTTCGTGCCTCCTTGAACGTTCCTCAAAGGGAACAATTGTATGCTCTCCAACTTTAGCCTTTTGTTTTTTTTTTTTTTTTTGTTTTTTTTGACGCGCCTCTTTTTGCTCACCACTTACCTTTTTGCTCACCACTTACCTTTTTGCTCACCACTTACCTTTTTGCCGCCACGAGCACTTCTCCAGACGGCGTGTAGCGGTGACGACTTTGAACGCAACTCGCCTGAGTTGTCACTTCAAAGGGAAAAGAAAAAAAAAAAAAAAAAACGAAAAAAAATAGGTGAACAAAATAGGCGAACAGAATAGGAGGAAAAGAGACAAACAGGAATCGCCTCCACTTCCCTCACCATCGCTGATAACGCCCATAACACCGCCAAGCGTGGCCGCATGCTAAAACTTTTGAAGAGGGGGAACCTGTTCAAGAGGAGCCTAACTCATACGCGCTGTTTCGCTGGTGGCCGCAAAATGGAAGGTCAGGGTGTCAAGCGTGAGGAACTGGAGGGAGCGACCGGCGAGGGTGCTCCACAAGAGGCCGCTGCAGTGGAGGCGGCGCCTCAGGAAGACGTAAGTGGCAGACTGACGCAAATTCTGTCCGTCGCGTCTGAATGTATCCAGCCCGAGGAGCTGAAGACCAGGCTGCTCCTCAAGAGGCGTTTGATCTGCTACGATGGGTTCGAGCCGTCCGGCCGGATGCACATTGCGCAAGGTAGGTGCGACGCGGCGCATTATACATAGTTGAAACGGAGGAACCATCGCGCGGGAGCCATACGCTACCTCGCATTCGCTCGCCATCGCCATCGCCACCGCTCGGCTTGCTCATCATGCTAATCGTGCCCATCGTTCTCCCCCCCCCCCCGCAGGACTGCTCAAGTGCCAAATCGTGAACAAGCTGACCAGCAACGGGTGCACGTTTATCTTTTGGATCGCAGACTGGTTCGCCCAGCTGAACAATAAAATGTCAGGGGATTTAAAAAAAATAAAAAAGGTCGGCAAGTACTTCATTGAAGTGTGGAAGAGTTGTGGCATGAACATGGAACATGTTCAATTCTTATGGGCCAGTGATGAGATCAACAAAAAGCCAAACGACTACTGGTCCCTCGTAATTGATATATCTAAGAGCTTTAACATTAATAGAATAAAAAGGTGTTTAAAAATTATGGGTAGGTCAGAAGGAGAAGAAAATTATTGTTCACAGATTATGTACCCGTGCATGCAATGTGCAGATATATTTTTTTTGAATGTGGACATATGCCAACTTGGAATTGATCAACGCAAGGTCAACATGCTAGCTAGGGAATATTGTGATATAAAAAAAATTAAAAAAAAACCCATAATTTTATCACATGAAATGCTTCCTGGCCTGTTGGAAGGACAAGAAAAAATGTCCAAGTCAGATGAAAATTCAGCTATCTTTATGGACGACTCGGAAGCTGATGTGAATAGGAAAATTAAGAAAGCCTATTGTCCTCCTGCCGTTGTTGAGAATAACCCCATTTTTGCATATGCACGCAGCATCGTCTTTCCTCATTACAATCAGTTTGTTCTACAGCGCAAGGAGAAGAACGGAGGTGAGTCCTCCATAAAAAAGCAGCCACCCTCTTGTTGCACGCGTCCGTCGTGAAGAAGTGTGCGGGGGGGGGGGGGAGGCAATTGTTTTATACGCCTTCCCCTTTTCTACACTGTATAATTGCTCCCCTTTCTACGTGACCTCTCCACATGAACAAATTCACTCCTCCATTCCGCAGGCAACAAGACCTATACCACGATCGCTGAAATGGAGGCGGACTACCTCAGCGGCAAACTACACCCCCTGGACCTCAAGGACAATGTTGCCATCTACCTGAACAAAATGCTTCAGCCAGTGAGAGATCATTTTCAAAACCACGCCGAGGCGAAAAGTCTCCTTAGTGAAATAAAGAAGTACAAGGTGACGAAATGAACAGGGCGTTGTAGTAATTACACAAAAAAAAAAAAAGTTTGGCGGCGGGGAGAGGCCTGTCCAGTGAGGCGCTTTCTGCACCTACCACAGAAAGCCATGTATTTATGCACTCTTCGCACCACACATCATACGGAGCTTGTCCGTACGTGCACGTTGTCTTCGTCCCTCCCCCCCACGCGTGTGCACCCAAACCGATGTAAAGTTCCTCATCGAAGGAGCGCAATTTTTGGCAGCCCCCCCCCTCTCTCTCGTGGGGGCTTCTTCTTGTCGTTCAGGCCAATGGCCTAAAGTGTATATATATATATGTGTACCCCCCATGGATGTCACCACATGGGGTTTCTCCTCTTTCAGTGCGCTCCTACCGTTTTCATCCCTTTTTTGTACATGACCATTCCGTACTTCTCCCCATTTGGTCCCCTTCTCCACGCTTTTATACCTCGTCACATTTCCCTTTTTCTCAACCCCTTCAACGATGACATCCCTGACTTGAGTCACACACACACACTCTCTATACGCCATTTCGTTTGTAAGATGTTTAGCTGTAAAACTTTCTACACATCATTCATGGGTAAATAAAATTCTGTTAACAAAAAAAAAAAAAAACAAATTCAAAACAACGCAATCCACTGTGGTAATATAAAAAAAAAATTACCTGACCTGTTCAGGTAAACATGTACAACAACGGGGAGGTACATAAAATTTGGCAGATCTTTTTACAAAATATGTCAAACCGTTTCCCTTTTTGGAGGTCCCTTTCACATGGTGACATTGTAGAAAGACGGTTGGGCGGGTATATAATAACGCCGCCTCTCCCCCATGTAATAGTGTGCGTGGGGAACAAAAAAAAAAAAAAAAAAAAAAAAAACACATCGTAATTGATAACCAAAGGAATGTACATTTTTTATGTCCCCACTCACACAAATGAAAATCTGTAACTACATCTTTGGCAAAGTAACAGATCCGTATAGCCACATTGAGAAGATAAAGGGATTGTTGGAGTTGCCTGCTGGAAAGATTAAGAGCACATGGAGCGTCGATTTTGTGCAGAGTTGTGTGCGCAGGTATGATGAGGAAGTGGCGAAGAAGAGTTACAAAATTAAATATGATGTTCATACGTCGCTGCGGGAGGACTTCCTTCCCTGCGAGGGAAACACAAATGAAGAGTTGCTCTTCATTAACAGGTACATATACTTCGAACATAACACTAACAAGAATCTACTAGTGTGTAGGAAAAAAATTAAAAGGAGATTTGGGACCAATACCTGTTTTCATAATATTAACAAATCGCTGCATGATTTGACGAGGGAAGGTTACATCTCGAGGGACACCTCCGAAATTGTTGCAGTACTCCCAACGAATTGTGTGATCAAATTTTTTTCCACTAAACGGAATCGCTTCTTTGCGTTTGTCGTGGAGCGTAGTGATTGCTATGTCAACTGGGGTTATGTCTTTCGTGGGAGTTGCCTCGTTAGGGATGCCAACTTGGATCATGTCGATTGTGCAGCTACCTCCAGGGGGGGTTCTTCCCCTCGAGGAAGTGACAGACGAGGTCCATTTAGGGGGAGACCTCCGGAAGGGGTTCGGTCGCGAGGAGTGCAGAGGCTTCCCCGCAACGATGCCCATCACTTCGCTCATCAATCGAAGCGTCCTCGTTATCGCCTCCCTTATCACCAGCTGCTCTACCAACGCAAGGGCGTGCAGAACATCGTTTTTGTGAAGGCTAAACGTTCCACGCATTTCTCGACTGCCAACTTCCTCACAAGCGACTTCCTCACAACCGAACTTGATGAGAAGCACCGGTGCAGCGGGCTATTCCTCAACTCGTGTGGTTGCACCCCCCCTCGAAAGCAGCTACTACTGTCCGAACCAAACGAGCAGAACTTTTTAAATATATATTCAAGTAAAGACATGAAGAAGATTTTCCTCTTGAGCGGAAACCACCATACGAATAAACTCTTTCTCATTCACTTCAAAGACAAGTCCAGGAAACGGACTCCCCATTATGAGTTAAGGTTAATCAACCTGGTAGGGAGGCCACTTCTACAAGGAAAGTACTTCCTTGAGCACTTTCGCAACCATGTGATAATCATAGGGAATAAAGAGGACAATTGCACAGAAGTGTATACCCTCCATTGTGATGCGCTGCATCTTGTACGTGATGGACAACTTGCACGAGGTAGGAAGGGCCAAAAGGAAAAAATTTTGTTCCCCACTCACTCGGTGCACATAACGAAGGAGGAGATACATGTGGATAGCCGCTTACGCAAAATGTTAACTCTACAAAATTGCACACTTCAAGATTTTGATGTGACCAAGTATGGTCTTGTCCTCTACACCTATCGTTACTTTTTGAAGCCGTTTATTTGCGTCTTATATTTATTTGTGAAGCGGAGGGGGAAGCGCTTTCCAATGATGTGTACCCCCAGTGGTGGTGAAGGGGATGCTGCCGCCTCCACCATTTGTTGTCCCCCCCCAGGAGGGATTGCCGACTCGAAGCAAAACGCACAGGAGAACCGTTTGGTGGCCAAAATGAAGGTTTTTTCTGTGCCCATAATAAAAGGAAGCATGCAGTGCGGATTGAACAACCTTTTCCACAGCCACCTCATAAGTGTGTACATTTGCAACCCGTTTGTGAGCAGCACCCGGGTGGTGATCGACTTGAGAAGGGGGGTGGTAGCCCTTCCGAGGAACATTCAACCGGGGGTGAAACGTAAGAAAGGGGACAAAAAGGGGGACTGTCCGACAAAGGAGGAACCAAACGGATCCTTCTTCCGAGCGAAGAACAACATCCATTACGATCTCCAACTTGAGGACTTATTTGCAAAAAATAAAAAGTACAAAATTAAGGACCTGTTTATTCGCACCGAGGAGGGAAGAGAGTTACCAATCACGCTGATCTATAAACACAAAAATAATAGCAACCTGTGTGATACTGAAAAAGAATCTTACAAAAGTTTTTCCACACATGTTGAAGAGGAGTATGACTCGTTCACTTTAACCGCTAGGTCCTTTGGAGATTTTTTTGTGCATTTTTTTTCATCACCAAAATGGAGCATAGACATGGGGATACAAGTGCATGAACATCTCCCTCTATTCATTAAACCAAGCAAAACAATCATTAACGTCTACCCCTTTTATCGGCAACTCAATCTTTGTACCTACTCGGATGAGTCCCATTTTTTCCTTTTGAATAATTTTATTGTAGTTTATTTTCACCTGACCTGTTCAGGCGGATTGCTAGAGGGGACCCAAAAAAAAAACCCATTGGACAAAAGCGCCACGCTTGATAAATTGACCACCATTCGGGACCTCACAGATTCTATTAATTGCTTGAAACATTTAAATGTTAGTGACACGGAAAGCATGTCCATGTATTTGCACTCCAACAGTGGTCTCCTTGGGGGGTTCCTGCTAAATGGGCAGAAAAAGTTTCTTCAAAATATTATTTTAATTAACCCCATGATGGACCTTTTTAATAATCTCACCGATGAGAACAAGCCGCACGTACATTCGGAGAGACTCGAGTTTGGTCACATCGACCCTGAAGCTTTTCTACTAAAAGGTGATGGACGAGCCACCCTCCCCCAGAGTGGCGCATGCCAAAACAACTTGCTCCTACTCTACGCACTGTGCCCGTACAATAATGTAGAGCCAACCTACAGCGAAGTCTTCTCCTCCCAAGACCAATCCGATCAGAGGATCCCATTCAAACTTAGCGTAACACACCACAAGGATAAATTATTTAGGAGTTCTGTTCTGCTCTACCTAAACAAGTACGACATGATATGCCCAAATGTTAATTCGGTGAAATATTTTTTAAAATACACTCATTATCGGAGGGTGCATGTGAGGTTCTGTTACTACTCCTTTGGCTTTGACTGTGTGGGAGGGAGGGTCAACTTGCTCAACTTCCTCAATTTCCACAACTTCCACAGTGGGGACGTGCAGCAGCTGCAGAAGAAGAAGCCCTTGTACATTTCCTTCTCCGAGCACGGGGGGCATGGCGGGTTCGCCGACTACGACTCACTGCTGCGCCGGCCGCTCGGCCGCATCCATTTTCACCTGGTTGGGCAGCGGTGTGCAGAGGATCCTGCGGAAATGGCGAACGAGTGATTAGCTCAAAGCAGCTATTGTGATGTGTCCTTTTTTTTACACGTCTGCAGGTGTTATATGCCGTCCGTCCCCCATTATCTCGCAAATGGCCCACCCCTCCCCAAAAAAAAAAAAAAATCTCCCTCCGTGGGAAGGCCACAAATTTGAATTAAAAATAAACGTGGCACAATTCCGTCCCTCCCTTTTTGTTGTAACCCTCGAACGTTGTAAATCTTAATCACAGTGGGAGACACCTCTCTCCGCTCCAATGAAATAATGAAACGGCGAAAAAGCCCAACGCGCTGAAAACAAATATAAAGATGTGCGGTGCGCATAGGGTCGGGAAGATAAACAGAAGTGTGGCGCTGCGCCCTCCCCCCCCTCTATCGTGCTGACGGTTGTTATATGCATCACCCCCGTTGAAAATTGTTTTAGAATGTTTCCTCGATTTAGTTTGGTGTTTGGTGCTGGCTATCCTACCCTTTGCCCCACTTGGCCAATTCTCCTCTTCACCTTGAACTGCCTTGCGGGCTTTCCATCCCCTCTCAAATTCTGCGTTGGGGAAAAATAGGCAAGAAAAGGGAAGAAAAAAAAAATAATAAAATAAAATAACTAAAGGAAAGGCGAAGCGGATGTAATTATGTTGGAGGAGCTAGCTCAACGCGGCTAAGTAAACGAACGTGGCCAACTCAGCCAGGGCAACTTCTCAACATAGGGGGAGTAACCTTGCAAATGCACGCGCGTCACCTCTCCAGGCGTGTAGAAGAGGGAAGAAAAAAAAAATTTCCCCTTTTTGAAGAGAGGAAAAAGGCCACACCATCACCGTGATAAAACTGCCTGTCGTGTGGAGGGGGTTGGACCAGCAAGATTACACACATTTTTTACCCCCAGGGAATTTTCATCAGTGGGTATTTTTTGTCGTATGTGTAAATTGTGGTGAGTGCTCTCTGTTAACGTAAGCAATCTGCTCCGTCTGCACAGGGGTCAACACTTCACCTACCCATTTTTCACTAACAAATTGGCTCCCTCCGTCTGTCACCCCTAACCGCGTGAAACAAAATGAATGGGTCCTTCATCGAACTGATAAAGGACATTAAGCGAGACGACAGCGTCCAAAATGTGGAGAAGCACTACGACCTGTGCGTTAGGAGTTTGAATGAAATGAATAGAAGGAGAAGAGCTAAGGAAAAGGAACCTATATTTACGACATTACTCAGTTCAAGAACGAAGGACAAATCTATCACGCTTTTAAAATTGCTTTATCTTCAAATGTATGGAAGGAAAATAGACCCAGAACACAATTTTGCAGTCATTGAAATGCTAACATCGGATAAATATTTTTTGAAGAGACGTGGCCATCTCTTCCTTCACCACTCCACTGCTAGAGACGACGTGGCATTTCTCTCGATTAACCTATTCAGGAAAGAATTGTACAAGGAAAACTTCCCCACCGCATCATGCTCTAACAACACGACAAATGTTATTAACTCATTAGCTAATATTGGTTGTAGTATTATGAAGGAGAACATAGGCTTGCTTCACAACTCTGCAAGGACATATTGGATAAGCTCTGCGGGTGGTGGTCAGTCGAATGAATCTTCTTCCCGGAGTCATTTACCCATTGGTGCAGATACTTCACATGAACAGGAAAAAAAGAAACAATTCGCACATACAAATTGTATAACAAAGGAAGCAAACGTTTACAACACAGCTCTCGTTCTAAACACACTGAGTAATATATGCACCCCCATCATGAGCAGCAATTTACATAATCATGTGTTGCATCTCCTTAATAATTCTCAAGTGTATATAAAAAAAAAAACAATTATAAGTCTGTACAAAATTGTAATAAGTAATTTAGAAGCGTTACCACTCTTTTTCGATTCAGTTAAAAAGAGCTTTGTGTCTCTGTACAATAATGAGAGTACTTCGTATGATCAAATGGGCACGGAAGAAATGGATCGTGCGCGACGGGACAACACTGCGCTGTGCTGTCTCATTGTGAATATTCTTGCGGAGGTGCTCTCCGCTTTGGAGGGGCGCGGGCACGCCTCCAACAGCGGCCACACTTCCCACAGAGTGAGCCAGCACAGCGTGAGCCAGCACAGCGTGAGCCAGCACAACGTGAACGAGGCCAACGTGAGCGGGCACAACATGAGTGGGGACAACGGGGCGGCAGTAGCAACCTACCTCAAAAAGTTCCTCTCGTTCATTCCCTTCATTTATAACATCCTCAACGAACGACTCACCCTGATTGGCAACTGGAAGTTCATAAAGATTATAAAATTTGTGAAAAAGCTAATTAAATATGAAAATCGAATTTACCGCAAGTTCCTCCCTTTAATTGTTCATGTGTTTTTTACGAACAAAGCCAAGAGCGTCATTTATGAGTGCCTCAGCTTTGTGCTGGTCAACTACCAGAAGGGGTGTGTAATTGAGTTGGACCTCGAGCGTTACGCGTCCTGTCAACTGGGCAGCTTCCAATCTAGCGTTGAATCGGCGGCCCAGCAGGGTCTTCACGCAACTGCCCAGCGACGCGGTGAAGGGTTGTGCGGTGAGGGGACATGCGGCGAGCCCGTTGATGGCCGCCCACCCCCAGATCCCATGGACAGGCTGCTCCACCTCTGCTTCACTCACCTGGCAAACAACTTCTACAGCGAAGACAAAAACATCGTGTACGTGATAACAAAAATGTATATGTCCATTTTTGCGAGCCCAGATGTTAATAAAAAATTTGCAGAACAGAACATGCTGGAAGAATTATCTTCTAACGTGTTAAGAAGTTTCTATGAGGACGTAACGATAAGGAAGAGTCTCCTTCGTATCCTGTACTACCTCATGAATGAAAATAATTTCGAATCCATCGCATACAACATTTTGACCCACCTGTATCACAAATCTGAGGGCGACTTTGTAGGAGAGTACGTAGACACCATTTTGTTATATGGGCAGAAAAAGGCGCACTTGATGCAAAATTGCAATTTGTATGTGTTTATTTTATTTTACATGCTCTGTATTAAGAACCACAAGAAGGAGTCTGAGGTGATTCAGGAGATCCAGCGCGTTAACAGCACTCAGGAGGGTACCACACACATCACCACGAACTTTCTAAGCGCCATGTATGTCGTGACGTACGGTGGGGCGATCATGCGGCGTGACGTGGCAGGGCGTGAAGTGAGAGGGCGTGACGTGGGTGGGCATGCCGCCTCACAGCAAGGGGGTCCCCAAAGAGCAACGCAACAGAAGGAGGAGACCCACAACACGGAGTTGCTACACCAAATGAATACGTTCCTCAAGGAAGTAAAGACGCTCGATGCGTTCGCCAGATACGACATAGTAGAGTACATAATGGGGACACTAAACATAAATGGAAGTGATGAAACACAGGACAAGGAAGAGGATCCATATAAAGACATAAACCAAGTAGAGGTGGCAACTTTTGAATATCTCCTTTATTTCGTATATGCATACCTGGAAGAAGCACATAACCACATAAAAGAATATAAGAATGAACACTTTTTGAAGATTTTTTTTTTCTCCTTGTACCTTTTTTTTACTCATTTCAGCATCAGTAGCATTCTCTGGTATGTCGGGAAAATTCTTTTTTTTTTTTATAAGTACGAGGAGAATAGAAGTATGGTTCTTTTTTACTTGAGCAAATTTTCTGGTCATGTGAGTTACCTCCTTGGCAGACGTCACAGCGTGGAGACCCTCGACTGTTGCGTTACGTTGAAAATGCTGTTTCATCTCCTGCGCAATGAGCATCATGCAGAGGGGGAAGAGGACTTCTCCCCCAGTGGAGACCAACCCAACCGAGGGATCCTCTTCTACTCCTGCGTCACGGACTACCTGCAGCTGGATCCCTCAGAGGACAAGTTCAATTTGGAGAGTCCCTTTAAATATAATGAAGCCTTCTTTTTACCCCCCGAGGAAAGTCGCTCCGGGGAGTATATTCCGGACGCGGTTCAAACGCCGTCGAGTACTAATGAGATGAAGCTTCCCTTGGCTGAGGCAAAGACAGTTGCTTCCACCGCTTCTGCGAGGACCCCTTCAGACATTACCGCCTCCGCCTTGACGGTCGATGAGACACCCATGCCCCGTGCAGACACTCATGAGGAGCTCTGTGCGAAAGGAGAAGCCACCCCACACGGAGACCTCCTAACCTGGTTGACAGAACTGAATGAAGAACAAAGCAAGTGGAGACAAAGGGATGGGAAGCGGACCTTCCACCAAATAAGCGAGAGTGCCTACCTCAAATTATATTTTCAAATGAATCAGGATGAGCGTCTGCTCCGTTTGTATGTTCAATTGGTGGGGTCTCCTGTACATGTTAAAAAGCTAAATGTGCGCACCTCTCTCCAAGTGAATAAATTCCAAGTGGAATTCAAACATGAGCAAGACGAATTAGAATTCGTTCTGTTACAGGATGAAAAAGTGACCCAACATACTACCATCGGCGATGACTTAACAAGGAAAAAGGATGAACCGAGTGGTCCGTCTCGCGAAGCGAATCGTCCTGAAGAAATTGCCATCACCACACTAACCGAACTAACCACTGTGGAAGAGGTCACCAAGAGTTTTCTCATTACTGTTCAGTTCCAAGTTCCGTCCGGCTCCGTTAAGTTGGCCTACTCCTATTTGTGCAACTCGATTTTGTATGAAGAGTCTTCTGTTGATATTCCATTCGTGCCTCTCGAACCGGTGGCCCTATCGGTAGACGAGCTTACCAACGTACGTTTAAACAAAAAAAAAGGAAGAAGTGGTGCAGCGCGTTAGCACTCTTATGCATTGAAGCATTGTGTGGTGTGGGAGGGACAGGGATTTTTTCCCCACCGCACCTCCCCCCCCTCTACAAATGGACTGTTTCAATTCGTAGGCCACATTTTATACTAGCCGCTTCCACACATGTGCATACACGATATTTCCCCCCCGTTTTTTGTTTTAATCAGGTGAAGAAGAGAAGAGGCATGAACAGAACCGTAACGGAGGAGATAAAAAATTTACAGGAGGTCCATCCAAGTGAATTAATCTTTAGTTGTTGTGTTTTTCTGGCCGAGTACCTCCATTTGTTTTTTTTCAACATGGGGAAAGTTTTTTCAAACTTGCAAAGTGGCTACGCTGCGGATACGCTTCGCCTCATTTTTTGCGCGGCTCGTACGTCTAGCAGGGAGGTCCCTCCAGGTAAGCATAGTTGCCTTTTTCGTGTTGACGAAGCACCTCACCGCGTCACCCCTTCAACATGGCACCTGTGAACCGCTTCACCACTTAACCGCTTCCACCGCTCCCCCTGCAGACAAAACGGTGTTTCTAATCAACGTGCATTACAAGAAAATGGGTCAGACGGGCGACCCCCCCACGTACAGGGTCGAAGCGAAGATGAAAGTTCTTAACGACTCCGAGGAGGAGTGCGTGCGCATGCTAGACTATGTTCAGTTCTACCTGACCAAGCTGCTCACCGGCAGGATCAAAATTAAGTCGCCCCGCATTGCGCTCACGCACGGGTAGACAAATTGGCAGAAGCTGAAAAATGCGCAAACGGGTGAGGAAACAAAGCGAACAGGCAGGCATGCACTCTAACCACACAGGACCCACTCCGCAATGTGCAATTGCTTTATCCCCCCCATGGCGATCTCCAAATATGGGTTGCACCCCACTCCATTTGATCAACCTTCCGTGTCCAGGCGAGCGTGCCTCCTTCTGTCAGTTTCCCCCCCGTTTTTTTTTCTTCTTTTTTTTTTTTTTTTTTTGTAAAAGGAATAAACCGTGTTTAAGGCCCTGCGGCGCTACCCACGTTTGACGTTGTGGGAGGGGCGGGGAGAAGGGCTAACTCATTTTGTGCGCCAAGGAGGTACACCCCCAGACGCCGCTGCCCCCGAAGTGTACCACGCGTACTCTATCCCCCACAGCGAACCGGAACAAAAAAAACATTAATTATGTAATTAATTAATTAGTTCACTATTGAATTAGCTCATTAATTAATTGATTAAAAAGCGAGACGCGGAGGACACACTGCCCCCCCCATCCCGTTGCTCCCGCCCAATTTTTAAAAAAACAGCAAAATGGGCAAGGCACAAGCGGCACGCGGAGGCGAAGCGGAAAAAGTTTGTCCACACACAAAAAAAATAAGCGGCAGAAGTAGCGGCGGCAGAAGAAGTGCCCCTTGGGGAAATTATGTCCCGCGGAAGAAAAAGTAACAAAACGAGGCATGTATGTTGTTGTGTTTGTGCGCACCGCAGCTACGCTGCCACCGCGGAAGGTTGGGCCGTGTTGGCCGGCTTGGCCTTGGCGACCCCCACCATAGAGGGCTTGCCGTCCATGCCACGCACGAAGACCGTGTAGTAGTGCCTCATAAAAGCAATGCTTCCGAGCAGGTACGCGTGGTTCTTCTCGGAGGGAACATCAATCTGCATGTACGCTGGAATACAATTGTCCTCATTTAAAATCATATATTCCTCAGGCATAAGCTCTATGACCAAGTCACCAAATACATATTTAATAACGGGATAATTTTTCAACACTTCTTTATAATTATCTTCTGTACAAGCTACAGAAGAAACTATATTAAAAAAATCTTTTATCTGTGTACTGGGCATAGTATTGTAGGATGTGCCTGTGTCCAATATCGCGTAACTCTTCTCCTCACAGCAAATTTTTTTCTCCCCGACATAAATAGCATCCAATTCCACCTCCCAGTAATATTCCTTAATGACAGGAAGCATATAAATGCTACCTTCATAAAAAGATTTACTCAAACCACCAATTATAAAAGTAGAAGTATTATCGTCAGGAGATATGTAAAAGGAAAATTGAGGTGACAAATTCTTATTCTGTTGTAGTAGATTATCGAAGAAGGATACCTTTCCTGCTGACAGCATACCTGGGAAGCCAAGCCCAACAATACCCTCAAAGTCTATATAATTAAAAATGTTGTCTCCATTCAAACTGTCATTTGCTTCACTCTCCACTAGGCCAAAGGTCTGATTACGCACTGTGTGATTTCCCAAGACGAAAGTTTCTTTTCCTATGGATCCTGAAATGGAGCCGGATCCAAAAATGATGTGAAGGTTTTTTCCTACAAAGGATCTTCTAAACGTTTTTGACTTGTATGGGTTGTACCTGTTAACCTTTTTGCATGACTGTTCTTCACAATCTGTTGTAACCACCCACAGATTTGTACTGCCTGTGTCAAAGATGGGGTGAATTTCTTGTGGAGGGACACCGACTAGGAGCTTCCCCACGAACTGGCTATCTCGCAAGTGCTTCAGGGGGACAAGAAAAACGTTTTCTTCCGTCTGTTCGACCACAGCGTTTGTGTTTTTCAGGTCGATGAAGTTCTTTTCCACTGTAGGGGGGTGCCCCTCTGCTTCCTCTTCGCCTGTTCCTCCGCCTGCTACTGCATTGTGTTCTCCCCCATTATTAGTAGTCCCCACCTCATACGCGTGCTTCTGCACACCCACAAAGTAGTCAGACAGACCCTCCTTCGCATAACTGCTCACGTCAATGAAGTTCCTCGTGTCGCCCCCCCCCTGCCTGCTCTTTATCTCCTCGTTTATCCTATCTATATCATCTAGGGTGTTCCCCGAAGGGTTACCCAGACTGCCTGAAATTCCTTCTCCCCTGTTGACGTAGTACTTCACCCCACCGAGCTTCAGCGAATCGTGATGCTTCTTCAAATTGGTGTGGTCATTTGGGTTTTTCTTATTTAGCTTCAAGTGGATTGCATATGGGGACTCCTGCTCCTCAAACAAACACGCACTACATTCGCGTACGTCCTTGCACTGCGAACAGGGGATGGGTTCTGGGCCCACTTTATACACCTTGTGGCATGCGGCTTCCCGGCAGAAATGGAGTAAAAAGAGGCCTCCACACAAAAGGGTCCTTAACCCCTTAACGTGCTTCATCTTCCGGGTCCTTGTGCTGCGTTAAAATTGTGGTAACCTCACACGAGTGGCTATTATTATGACTCATCTATGCGCGCAAGTGTGTGCTCCGGTCAGGTGGCATCTCATTCGAGCAAACGCGAACGGGTCACTTCTCACCAAATGTCCGTATGTCTTTAAAGTGTAGGCGAATACTTCGGAAGGTATATAATAAAATGACGTAAAAAAAAGGACAAAAAAGAAAAAAGGATTGTATGGGAAGACGCGACTTGGTTGGTTGCTGACTTGTGCAATTTTTGCCAACCCGTCTGGTAAAGTATACACAGTTGAGAAAAGGGGAAAAAAAAAAAAAGAAAAAAAAGACTGGGTCCCTAACTCCTCATCAAATGCGCATTCGAACTGAACCCCTTTTCGCAACTCACTCGCCGGTGTTGCACCGCCGTATAGCAAGCAAAAGGGGTAGGAAAGGCACACGCACAGGTGGTTATGCGTTACGCGTGGTAGGAATGAATTGATATATGTCCTCGTGCGAGATGCTGACTTGGACAGCTACGCAGGGTGTTCGGAGGGTATACACATAAGCCTCAACACCTCCCTGTTGTGCATTTGGTTAACACCATCATGTTTGGGCATGGTCTGCTTTTTCTCCCCGTGGTGAGTCAAACAGGGGAGCAACCTTGTAACACCATTTGGAGACGTTCGCAGGGAGCAAAAAACACGAAAAAGTAACGAAAAAAACAAACGGAAAAAAAACTGAAAAGTGACGAAAAAAAAAAAAAAA